CGACCAACTTTGGTCGGTTATTTTCGTGCGAAAATACAATTAAACAGTATAAATAAAATAAAAGACAGTCTTAAAACAAAAAGCACTAATGGTCTAGTGGTAAGAATAGCGTCCTGCTATAGTACAGACCCCAACTCGATTCCTAGATGGTGTATTTTTTAATTACATAATTAAAATACCGACCAACTTTGGTCGGTTTTTTCGGTAATTATTTTTTTTTGAATTTAATTGACCGATCAAAGTTGGCCGGCATGCCCTTTCGACCTTCAAAATACAGACCACACGTTAATGGTCTTGTTTTGGACGGTTATTGGCCATTACCGACCAACTTTGATCGATTTTTTTGGACGGTTTTTCTCACATTTCTAGTAGTGATTCTCAATTCTCTTTACTTTTCGCTATTGTTCCATTGAAATTAGGTCTCAATTGCGTTTCACTCGAAGTTTCTTCTCCAACTACTTTGTCCTTGGTTCCTCGTTGAGCATTGCTCTGAGAGGCAGCTGATTCTCTCGCCATTATTGCTTTCTGAGATGGAATACGAGCTCTCTTACCCATGGTAGGCGCAGGTTAAGCTAACTTGCACCGAGAGAGAAGATAGGCCATTCGAAAGATTTTTTCCTCTTTTTGTTCTTATTACTGCTTATTTCGTCATGTCTTTTTAGCATTCTTATTTCTTCATGTTTCGTTGCCATATTCATGAGTTCCTTCCATCGAAACAAAACTTAATAACAAATATTATAATGATCGAACTCTATTTATTTGTTAAAGAATTATACTTAAACATTCTAACTTTAGGTAATTTTGATGCACAAATTCAACCGAACAATAAAGAAGTGCGACACTTTTTCATTAAAAAATCCTAGTCAATACAAGAAGCCGAAAATTATAAATTGCTTCAGCTTAAAACAAAACTATGGACCCGCTTGCCCATAAATTTTGTCAAAATAAATTTGAATTTTATTTGGCAAATACATATTTGGCCATAGATTTTGTCTACATTTTGGCAAAATTCCAAATCCTATAGCTGGTTTTGGGCCAAAATATCACTATTATATTTTTTAAAAATTATCCCAAACTTTTATATTTTATAAAAGAGCCCACCATTTATTATTTTGTAATAATGTTGCTTCGCCTTCTCGGTCACCTAATAGTGTATCATGTAGTTCATTATAAAAATAATAATTTTGTATCAAATTTATTTATGCTCAGGACTATGGTTTGCGATAATATAATGAATGTTATTGATAATGGTACTGTTGGGTATTTGTGATAGTTTTTAGAACTTGTGGGTATAAGTCATGTTTCATATTTTTTTAAAATAAATTTGGGAAATATGTTTTGAAAACTGATGTCCAAACACATTTTCATCTTCAAACCAAACTTCACCAAAATCAGATTTTTCAGAACATATTTGGGAATCTATGGCTAAACGCTAACTATATGTAAACTTCCCTTTTCTATACTCCAAAAGGTATTGTTTAACATTAAAAAAAAAAGAGGGAAAGAGTCCACGGCAGGGACGAATGTAGTTTTTTTACGAATTCAACTTAACCTATAACGTCTTTTCATGCAGAATTTGAATTTATTGCAAAAAATTATTAAATCTTAACCAGTATTAGAATTAAACTCATAATTTTAACAGTTTAACGAGTGAGTTAAATGCTAAAGTTTTTAAAAGTTAAATCAATTAAATTTAAATTTTCTATCGGCCTCCGGTACCGGTAGCTAGGGGTGTCAATGGATATTTAAAAACCGACTAAACCGACCAAATCGTACCGTACCGAATCAATTTTTAAGTTTCTTTTAATAAAACCATAGGTTTTTATATAAATCTATAACCGTACCGATAATTAGGGTAGGTTTTTTATTTTATGAAAATAAACCGAAAAAATACCGAACCATACCGAATAAATTTACATGTGAAAAATATATTTATATATTAAGTTTAAAAATAATAAAGCATTAAATTTTTCCTTGGGTCTTGGAATTATGAAAACAGTTACAAGCCAGCAAGTAATTAAACTCAAAATCCTAATTTCCAAACATATTATGTTACTCCTATTGAAACTAAATTATTTTCAGCATATTCACTAGCAAGACACAAGTTATTGTAGCGATTATGAGTAGCATACTACAATGTATTTAATGTGTTTCCTTTCGTATGATTTAGATTTATCTTTTTGAATATTTAATCTTGTATAGATTTTATTCTTGAGTCTCAGTCCCACCTTGGTTAATATCTTTTCACTCGTATGATTTATTTTTTATATTAATATGCTTTATTTCTTTTACGTTGTTATAGAATAGTTGATGGATCTATACTCTAGACATCTTTTATATTTTCTTAATTCATTATCCTTTAAAATGTAAAAATGTCTAGAGAGTTTTGCTAAATCCTATAAAAATATGTATATTATTGCATTCTACTTCTAATAGTAACTTTTACATGAGATTTAAAAAAAATACCGAAAGTTAACCGAACCGTACCGATACCGAAGAGAAACCGATATGATTGGGACGGTTTCAAAAAGTCTAATTTTGGTTATATATAATAAAATAATTAAAAAATTGGTATGATACAAATTTTATAAAATAATCGACCGAACTGAATCATTGAGACTCCTAGCGTTAGCATAACCCAAGCCACGTGTTAGTTATTAAACGTCTTCGCTTTTTCTAACAACACTTGGTGACCTGCAAAACCCAATATATGCGTCATGCTGACATAATGAACCAAATCGGCGCCATGGGCTTTACGTTACGTGGCAAGATGGTATCAGTAGGATCAGTGTGATAGGAGCACTTTACGTGGCGGCTTGAATTTGATGGGTCCTATTCAATTCTCATTTGTACAAGAGTGTGTTGATGCTCTTCATTTTGAAAGTTCGTGAGTTCGAGTCACCGTAAAAATAAGGTGAGCTGTTTTAAAAGAAAAAAATTAAAAGTTTATCGAAAACAGTCTATCTACTTTAAAATAGAAGTAAGGTCTGCGTATATATTACCTTCTCCAGATCTCACTAATAAATTATATTGGATTATTGTTGTCGGACTTCTAAATTCTCATTTGGCAGAGACGGCCCACTTATTCAATTATTCGTTTCGTTCACCTATGTAGCTGGGCTATTCCAAGTGGTCAATGGGAACTGACCGCCGTACGTTCCCTTCCATTTCAAACTTGGAAACTTTTCCCGTTTGCTGCTGTAACTCGGGAGCTCTACGTTTATTGCATGCAATTTTTGTGCTCATTTTTTAGGTGCATGTGAAATTCCTTATTGACAAAAATTCAACGCGAAAATTACGTTAATATTTTACGAAACACTTTTACCACATAGAAGGTAAATTTCACTTTAAATTTCTGCCTGTTGATACTATTTGTTTTTAAAAAAATGAAAAAGCTTTTTTTGAGGAAAATTTTGAGTTTTTTTTAGGAACAATTGCCTCAGTAATTGTCCAGGCCTAAAAAGGCTTCTTGAAGAAACTTTAAGGAACAAATTGTTATTTTTTTCACTTTTGTCAAGTTCTGCATGCCCAACCGTCTTCTAAGACTATGAAAACACGTTTACAAACAAGCACTTCTCTCTGTGTTTTAGTTTACCAGTCTATTGTCAAGCAAGCGTGTATATATATTTAGAACGTAAAGTAAACTATATGAAAAAGAAAGATTAAGAACAATGAGTAATTTTTATTGCCTTGATAATTCCCAGTGCCCACGTTTTGGTTTTGCTTAATAAATGTTTCATGCATCTTAATTAAGATTTTCACACTAGCTATATATAGAAAAGATTTACTAATCGCAAATCCTTTCTTTAGCAGCCTGGCTACTAGGATATTTTAAATACAACAAAAGTATTAGTAACGAGGCAAACGCGAGTTAAACAATATTGTAGTCAATAGAATACATTTCTTCTGCTCCAATTAACTATATTACTTGTTTTCATGTGAAACATTTCGAGATATTTGAGATTGTCTCATTTCCGTATAACTTTCAAGCAGTCAAAGTCATCAAACTCTCCTATTTTTTGGACTTCGAATTTAATGTTTTCCCATTGATCAAATTATTCGACCCTTACTTCAACATTTTAAATCACTCATTAATATAATATATAATATATAATTACTATCATATTTACATTTAAATTTATTTTCCAAGCAAATATTGTCACATAAAATGAAAGTAGCTAGATATGTGCATTTGAGTTTAGACAGATCACAGTCTTTAATTACGCGTAATTAAACGACTATTAACTTCATCTTAATAAATGAGAACTAAACAAATTAATACACATAACCTAATATTAGGCCACAATTCTTTTGACAACGTCAAAGTCAAATACCTGTATTCCCATTCCCCCATATAGAAAAAACATTTCGAAAATAACTTGGTTGTTTTACTTTTAAAGTTCAACTGTTTAAACCCTTATCCTCCACGTTTGCCCTTCTAGAATTCAACGTTTCCTTAACAAGAAGTCAAGAACCCCATCTCGTTTAAACTAAACCATCAAAGAGCCAAAAAAACACCTGATTGAGATTCTTTACAAATTTCTGTTATATACACGGACAACTTAATAATTTTTTCAGATTATCAGTCTTTTTAGTTTATCAATCAGTACACATGCAATTACCTTTTGAATAATTTTTATGGAAAATATATATTTTTAGCCGCTCACAAAAATAATAGTCAAAAATATATATATATATTTTATATAATATATATATACAAAAATATATTTATTTTATATAGTTTAAAGATATTTTTTTCCCTCAGTGTACGGACTTTAGTGGTTTGCTTACCGGTTCATCTAGTTTCCCGTTGCCTACAATCTACTTGTAAAAAGTATCTTTCGGCTTCTTCGTAAACCTCACGTATCATACTCCCACGTGTCTCTTTACCGTTCCCCCTACTACCTATACTACCCCGTACCCTAAACCAACCACCCAACCCCACAGCTTTATATATCTATCATCACCCCCTTCCATTATTTGTATACGATCTTCTCATCTTTCCATTATTCTTTCTCACTATTCACAAAAGCTTTACATTTATTCGACCTTACAAACCAAAACATTCACTCCTAAAATTTTCAACTTCACAAACACACATACCAATTATCTCATACATCTTCATTTTCCTTTTTTAAATTTTCTCTTGTTCTAAAATGGCAAGAAAAAAGAATAGTATGGGAGCGATGTTGCTAGAGAAAGAAAGCTTTAGAAGAACAAAATTCGGAACCCTTTTGTATTCCGATCCAATTAGTGACCCTGAAGAAAGCAATAGCAATTCAGCTCGCAGCAGCAATGCTTCTTCTGCTCCAAGTCCACCTAGAACGTCGTCGTTTTACACCACAACTACTATAACAAACTCCCCTAATTATTTTATGTCTCCTTGGAATCAATCCGCTTCCCCTTATGTTAAATCCCCATGGATTCACCAGCCATTTCTTGATTCCTCAGAAGAATCATCAGAAATCAGCGATTGTAAAAATGGTCTAATTGGCTCACTCGTACGAGAAGAAGGACACATATATTCATTAGCTGCATCTGGAGATTTGTTATACACAGGTTCAGATAGCAAAAATATTAGAGTATGGAAAAATTTAAAGGAATATTCTGGGTTCAAGTCTCACAGCGGATTAGTAAAAACCATTGTTGTTTACGGAGATAAAATATTTACCGGCCATCAGGATGGTAAAATTCGGGTTTGGAAATTTATGGGTAAAAAAAGGAAGGCGTACAAGCGAGTTGGTAGTTTACCTACCATTAGAGATTATTTAAAAAGTTCAATTAATCCCAAGGCGTATGTTGAAGTTAGACGAAATAGGAATGTTCCGTGGATTAAGCATTTTGATGCTGTTTCTAGTTTGAGTTTGGATAAAGAAAGAGGGTTGCTTTATTCTGGATCTTGGGATAAAACACTCAAAGTTTGGAGATTATCGGATTCGAAATGTCTGGAATCTATTACTGCTCACCACGATGCGATTAATTCTGTGGTCGTTGGATTTGATGGATTGGTTTTTACTGGCTCAGCAGATGGGACAGTAAAAGCTTGGAGAAGAGAATTGGTCGGTAATAGTGCAAAACATGTTCTTGTGGAAACACTGCTGAAACAAGACAATGCTGTGACTTCACTGGCCGTAAATGCTGTGGCAGCCACGGTAAGAGCACACTTTTAATTATAGTATTATTATATTTTTTTATGAGCAAGTACTCCCTCGCTTTCGAAAAGATAGTCACTCTTACCTTTTTAATCTTTTTCAAAAAAAATTATTATTTCAATATTTTTTTAATAAATAGTATTTATAGTTACACAAATGATAGGTCAGGTTTCAAACCAGCACAAAAATACTATGACTTATTTAAGATCACATATATGAAAAGACTTCTTCGTTTTATTAAAGTTTGTGCAAAGTCTTAGTAACACAATTTTTTTGAAATGGATGGTGTATTAATTTATCAATATATGGTGGTATAAAATTTTGTGTTGGTTTTTAAACTTCAGACCGCTGGTCTAATTTTAAAGACCTGACCAATTTTCTAATATAATATCATATTGAATTGGGTTATATCTTAAAATATAAGGTGTTTAAAATAATACATTTCTAATCATTTAATTATATTATGTCTCAATAGATATATGCCGGCTCATCCGACGGACTAGTAAATTTCTGGGAGCGACAGAAGCATTTCTTAGAGTATGGAGGTGCGTTGCGGGGTCATAAATTAGCGGTATTATGCGTGGCTGTTGCTGGTAATCTGGTATTGAGTGGATCGGCTGACAAGAGCATATGCGTGTGGAGAAGGGAAGAAGGTGGTGTTGTCCATAGTTGTTTAACAGTATTGACAGGACACAATGGCCCAGTGAAGTGCTTAACCGTTGAAGATGATCAAAATGACAACGACGACGACGACAAAAACGATGATAGCGAAGATGAAGCTGTGGTGAAGAACAAAAGTGACCAATATTGGACAGTGTATAGTGGGAGTTTGGACAAGTCTGTTAAGGTTTGGAGATTATCCGAGCAGGGATTCAATGCCTATGAGGATATGTGAAATTGCTAGTGCTCGTATCATCGTTTACACTTTAGTAGTATCGCGTTCAATTTTCACTGTTTTCTTTCTTCTAGTAGAAAAGGATGCACGTGAAATATAATCGTGGATGGTGTGTGGTTTGAACGCGCCGCCGAGTAGGAGGCTGAGAAGCTAGCGGTTGTGGATTGCCGTGTGGGGTTGGACATTACTGATATTTAGGACTTGGTCGTTAAGGTAACAGCAGTGGAAAAGGACCGACATCTTGTGAAAAGCAAGCAGCTTCACACAATGAAGGAGAAAACTGGTTTTTTGTGCCGTTAAAAACCGGCCAAACGGCGGTTCTCTTCGTGGGGGACCAGTGAGCAGAAACTTAACAATGAAGGAACATTAGTATGAGAAGCAATCACGGACTAACATTACTCAAATAATACAAAACATACTGAAGTTGTACTCTAGTACATATCAGCAAAATGTCTTCATTTGTTTTTTTTTTTCCCCTTCTTTTCATTTGCTTGTAAGTTTCCTAAATGATTGTCTTGTAAATTTTAGTTGGGAAGTACTAACAAAGTGTAAATTTGAAAGTTCTGCAGCTCCTTTAAATCAATTGTAACAGATTATGTTAATGTTTAAGATTTTTGTTCTATTTACCTTTTCGGTAATGAACAAACTTTAAACACCTTACATATAACTTAAATTTCGGTAAAGGTGCGTGTATTTATAGGAAGAGCAGAGCCAATAAAGGAGTGATTAGTGAAAGTGTGAAAGGTTGCAGACAAACAAAGTTATAGAGCAATGAACTAATTAATAGAGATGAATTCAGCTTTTCATTTCTTCAGCATATTGGTGTTAACTACCAGTTGAGAAGTCTAGTCATGGACCAAATTGTAGAGTTGGCCGAGCCTAGATTACACTTATTAGCTTTTAAATTTAAAGAAGTGGTAGACAGAAAAAGCAAAGGAATAGTTAAAGATAAAGTAGGTAGCAATGCTGAAAAGAATAAGTCCAAAGTTCTACTTTTCTTGTTCTTTAGAGTAATTAAGTTTAATATGGCCTAGGAGAATATTAATGGTTAATTATGCTACATCAGAAAGTGGATCACTTTATTAGTTTAAAAACGATGGAGTAAAATATTGCTCTACATAGCGTTGTCCCTTGAAAATAAAATTCAACTTGTTTTTCAGAATCCTAAAATATAGTTTTGAGAAAAACGCGATCAAATTTTAAAATTAGTTGGTTAATAAGAAATACAAAGTGATAAATATTTCACAAGAAAGAGTTAAAAGAAAAGAAGAAAGGAAGGATGCTATTTTTTCAATAGCTTTAATTAGCCGGTGAAAAGGGTCGGTGCGCATCATTAAAGGCTTTGATTGGAATGAGCACTTTTACTTCGTTAGTGGATTTAATTCGAAAATCAATCGATAAATTTGGAATGGTGAATGATTTGAAAATAAAAAATTGCACAACCATTTGATAAACTTTTCAAGAAAAGATGTAAAATATAAGAACGAGTCCAATACTTTTGCATAAATAGTTCAGTCTGATTTGTCGGGCCACTGTTGCACATTGGCCCCAAATCTAGCTAACTCAATAGCAGAAAGTCGTAACGCACACCTAATCTAGAGAATTAAGCCAAGCACTCAGTAACATTATTTAATATTATGCAAATTGAAATTGTTGATCTTGTGTTTCTGAATTATTGTAATTCTCCCTCCCTCTAGTTGACATATATTATCTCACATCTATTATGTAAAGATTTTCGAGTAGATTTGTAGCGATCTTGAAAGTTATTTATAACTTAAATGTCTAGGTTCTTTCACATGCTATTAGAGCAAACATGCTAAATTCGTTATTTTACTGCTTCCTCCGGTCAATTTTAATTGATTTTTTGGTGTTTTTCTTGTGGTCCACAATATTTATTTATTTTATATCAAGAAAGAATTATTTATTTTTTCAAAGTTGCCCTTAGAGTAAGAACCTAGGAGTATTTGTTATATATTAAATGAACAAATTAAGGTTAATACAGTTATTTTTATTGTTAATTAATACTAAAAGATGAATTCTTAATATGTGAAAAAATAAAATAAAAATTAATTAAAATAGACCGGAAAGAGTAATAAGTTTTAGTCCCAAAAAACGCACGCATACACACAAAAGTATGTAAGAAACTATGAATATTGAAAGGAGAATGAGAACATTTTTGGTCTTGGGCTTAAATTTGTCCTTCACAAGCCCTCTATTTCCTTGTTTCATCTCCAGCTAACTACCAAGGTTTGAAAAGAATCAGACTCCTTTTTGTTTTGGGCTTGAATTGTCCTCGGCTAAGCTCTCCATTTCCTTGTTTGTTTGTTTGGTTTAATTGGCAATGGCAGCAGTTTAAATATATTTTCAATTCCAACTAACTCTTTTACTTTTCGGTAGGAGAAGGGAAACTGATAAGTATGAGTATTTTTAAATGATACTTAATACGCACTATGTAGTTATTTTCGCACTTTTCTTCCTCTTTTCTTATTACATTTGTTTATTTATTTGGAACTCCTCAGAAGAAAATTTGGACTTGGCTACCGCTATAAATCTACCCTAGCCAGACCGATCTTTATTGTTCATTCGGTATTTGTATTTATAGCTAGACTAGAAAGGAAATCATAGTTAGAAGTTACTAAAACCATAAATTGATTGAGATTGAGAAAAGTTAATTAGTTTGTGTGGAAAAGGTTCCAACTATAGGTTCGAATCATGTGACTTGCTTGTTTTTGTTTGCCAAATTAATCCAAATAGTTGTCCACTTAATCGCTTAAACTAAAAATAACCGTCGAATGTATAATATATGAATAATTTATGTATAACTATATATAATTAGTGTATAATCATTATATATGTGTTAGAAAAAGTAATCATTGAATCTAACCGGCTATTTGTGTAAAAATCTCGAGTTGTTTCTCTAAGTATTGTGCATTAGGCCCAATTCTTTTTGAACTCACAAAATATCCAAGCCCATTGGGTTGGGCTATATCGGAGTTCTAGAAAGGCTTCTATTGTCCAAGTACTCGCATCTGTTTTATTGGGCTTTTTGATTAACACTTTTTGTAAAAATAGCACGGGCTAGCCAGTTTTCGGACGAGAGAAATTCAAAAATAGTCAGATTTACAAGTGATAATTAAAAAATAGCCACAGTTTCAAAAGTAATCGAAATTTAGCCACTTTTTATGTAAAGATAAATCTGAACGAAAATACTGTTCAAAATCCGAAAAATATTCCAGCATAATATACTGGAGTTCCGGTATAATATACTGGAACTCCAACATAATATACTGGAGTTATAGTATAATATACCAGTCCAGCATAATATGCTGGAAGTTCACATACAGGTACTCCAATCTCCAATATATTATGCTGGAACTTTCCGCGTGTTGGAGTTCCAGCATAATATGCTGGAAGTTCATACACAGATGCACCAATCTCCTGTACATTATGCTGGACCGGTCCGTGTTGAAGCAAAATAGTGGCTATTTTTTAATAACTTTGCAAACGGTGGCTATTTTTGAATTATCAGTCCGAAAACTGACTAGCCCGTGCTATTTTTACTTTTCAGACTGGTAATTGAAAAATAGCTAGCGTTTGCAAAGTCGTTGAAAAATAGTCACTATTTTGCTGCAACACGGAATGTTCCAGTCTAATATATTGGAGATTGATGCACCTGTGTATGAACTTCCAGCATATTATACTGGAACTCCAACACACGAAAAGTTTCAGCATAATATATTGGAGATTGGAGCACCCATATATGAATTTCCAGCATATTATTTTGGACCAGTATATTATGCTGGAACTTCAGTATATTATGTTGGAAGTTCACGTGTAAAAAATTCGAACTCTAGTATATTATGATGAAATATTTTTCGGATTTTGAACAGTGCTTTCGTTTAGATTTATCTTTATATGAAAAGTGGCTAAATTTTGATTACTTTTGAAATTGTGATTATTTTTTATTTACCACTTGTAAATCTGGCTATTTTTGAATTTCACCTACACTTTATGTTTAGGGTATAGTATGTAAACTATTCTTGTAATTTTCGTTTGGCGTAATTCGCACAATGCTCAAAACTTGGACAATATGTTTTCTTTGTGATCAATGCAAACAGTCCCTATGTTTCTTATTAGCTTCATGTAAAACGGATCAAGATAATTTCACCCGACTCAATTTATTTTGAACGGCATAAAATATTATCTCAGTCAAAAAATAACGAAAACGAAGTACTATACCTTAATCTAAGAGTTTAAGAGGTATGATGGAATTAAATTTAAATATTTTAATCATTCTAATTTTATTGAATGTCCTCGATAGAACTTGTAATTAACTCAAGTAAATAAAATGAAAAGAAAGGAACGACTTGGTTCCTAATTAACCGCCAGGTCAACGACGTGGTTGCTGCTTGATCAACATTCAACACTGAAAGATTAACAACTTAATTAATTAAACCATTACTCCCTCTGTCGTGTTTCTCTTTTACATGCCCTTTATGTCGTGTTTCTATTTTACATACCCTTTAAGAAATATTAATTAGGGAAGAAATTAGACTATTCTACCCTTATTTATGTTTTAAGATATAATCTTTTTATTTAATATTTATTCTATTTAGGTGTTATCTCCATATTCAAGAACAATTATTATTAAGGGTAAAAAGGAAAAAAATAATCAATTTTATCTTCATCTTCTAAAATGATAAATAATTTGAGATAACTATTTTTAGTAACCACGATTGTTAATATGAGACGGGGAGTATTTGATTAGTTAAATACAGACTTTAACTCTAGGATAAAAGCCAAAAATAAAGAAGAAAGTCCTTCGCCTAACGTAGGATTACTTCTGATTCCAAACTGCAAGTCTTGTTCACATGATGCTAGGAAACAGCGCCAAATTTTATAAGTCAATTGTCATAAATACCCCTACCCCTCGTTACCCCTATGTCATAATAGAAGTTTTTTGGACTAATTCAAAGTTCAAAATGAGGCAGCCATCAGTCATAGTGATTTTTTAAAGAGAATTTCTTACGACATAGTTTCTTGGAAATGTTTACTAAACGCGTTGATCAAGAAAAAAAAAAGGGTGTTGGGAGTTGATGAATTGAGAAGGAGAAATAGTCTTAAGTCTTTCCATAAAAGAATCAAAGTCTTTTTGGTGGTCTCCAGTCTTGAATTTCTACTGGTAAGACTTGGGTTGTAGCCCACAAACACACCTTATATTTTAATGATTGTAATTTGTATCTCTCACTTTCATTCAGTTTTCATTCTCAAGAACCCAAAAACTTCTTATCAAGAAACAAATTTTGAGGGTTACAATCATCATTTGACACAACTTTTGTGTACCCTTTAATCCTAGGAGATATATCATAGACCAATACTCCTTTTATTGTAATTGTTAGTATTGTATTTTTCACTTGTATTCAGTTTCCATTTCCAAGCTCTTGCCCCCTTTCCCAAAATAGAAAAGAGCAAGAAAGTTCGCATTTTGGCTTTTGGTTATATCAAGAAACAGGTTATTCTGGGGTGTATTCATCAGTTGATTAGAACTGTTGAGTACCCTTTTTTGATAGAAACCTAGGAGTAAAGAAAATCTCTGTCTTTTAATCAAATTCCGCTTGATGGGAGTTTGAGATTAGGATTTAGGACAGATTTAGCAAATATGGCAGCAATCTTGAAAAGTTTTTTCCCTGTTACTTCCTCAAAAAAGGAGGATAAAGATGAAGAATTTGATGTAGATTACTCTTTTGCTGAGGAGTATAGTGGTCCTCCAGTTAGTTATGACATTCCTCAGGTTGTTCCCGTTGATGTAAACCGGATTCCGACTGCCTCAGTCGTTGCCACGGCTACTATGTTAAGTAAAAATTTGTCACTGCCAGTTGTTGAACCAATTGTCAAGAGTGATCACCAATTAGTCAAGAATCAGAAGTCAAAGGAGTCAGATTTAGGCTCTGTGGTAAGTTCTGTGTATGTTGATAATGGGGACTCTACCTTAGAATCGGAATATGTTGAGAATGATCATGCCTATAGAGTATCAGTTGGAATTGAAAGTTCTGGTACCTTAGGATTTTCTGACAGTCATGATCGCTCCCGTGAGCTTTCAGGAAGTTCGGATGTTGAGGATTTGGTAGATGAATGCAATGAAGAAGTAAGATTTGTGAGTCATCCAAACCCTACTGGCATGGAATCCGAGGAACCAACTTTGAGCTCTTCAGATTTTTCCTCAGATTATGGTGATGAAGCTGATGTCAACCAAGGTAGTAGAACAGCTGTTGTAAATTTCCATGAAATTCAATCAAGGGATGTTACTACTTACAGTGATGATGAGGAACCAGGAATGTTTCCCGAAAAGCCATTTGTGAGCAGTGATTCAAACAAATGTTGTCGGTGTCAAAAAGGGAGTCGATTCACTGACAAGGAAATATGCTTAGTTTGTGGTGCAAAGTATTGTATCAATTGTGTGTTGAGAGCAATGGGGGCAATGCCTGAAGGAAGAAAGTGTATTACTTGCGTTGGTTATCGTATTAATGAATCAAAACGGGATTCATTAGGCAAATGTTCTACAATGCTTAAGAGGCTGCTAAGTAAATGGCAAATGGATGAGATTGTGAAATTGGAAAAGTCATGTCAATCTAATCAGCTTCCACCCCATCTCGTGATCGTAAATGGTAAATGTCTTTCCCTTAGAGAGTTGGTTGACTTGCAAAGCTGTGAGCATCCACCAAAGAAGTTGAAACCGGGGAAGTACTGGTATGATAAGGTGTCTGGATTCTGGGGAAAGGTGAGTGTTAGATCGTACTCTCCCCCTTTTTTTTACATCAAAACATTAATGCTGTTGTTTGCCTGATAATTGTTTTTTGCTTTGACTAATAAAACAGGAAGGGCATAAGCCTTGGCAGATAATTTCTCCCCAACTAAATGTTGGTGCTCAAATTAAGAAAGATGCTAGCAAGGGAAACACAAATATTGTGATAAATAATCGGGAAATTACGCAAGTAGAGCTGTTGATGTTGAAGGTTTGATTTCTAAACTAATTCAGTCTTCTGAAATTATGAATGCTCTACTCGTGGTTGGAGTTCTTAGCACGTTGTCAAATCATTTCAGATGGCAGGTATTAACTGTGAAGGAAGCATTTGCTTGTGGCTCAGTGCCGATGGATCCTGCCAAGAAGAGGGTATGAACAATGTGATTGGAAAATTATGGGAAAAGGTTGGTTTTCTATTCATCCATCCATTCACTTCTTTTGACCAGTTTTACCTACTTTTTCCTCGTCTTATCTGATAATCGCGATCTTTTTTACAGACTACACACAAGCTGTTATGTTCTGCTTTGAGATTGCCAACTCCTCCTGTGTCTGCAAATTCATCTGGTGTAGAAGTTGGAAGTGGATTGGATGTAGGTGACTCGCGCAGGGCAGATAACAAAAAGCTGAATAAACTACTTCTTGCTGGTTGTGATCAATCAGGAACAAGTACTATGTTCAAACAGGTAATGTATAGATGGGATGATTCACTTAAAAAGAAGACGTTAATTTATCTTTCTTTGGATTCTCAGTTGGCAGTCAACTTAACTGAATCTATGCACAATGCATAGATTGCATTTTCTGGTCTAACACTATTCTCATCTCAGTGAGCTTCTCGGTATCTTAAATATTCATTCAGATTATATAAACTGGTTACTTACAGAGTTGTGCTAGATGACGAGTGGTTACTAATGAAGTCAAAGATTGCAACTGTGGGTTTATTATTACCATTTTGTAGTTTTCTCCTGGCTTATGCTAATAAGAACCAAAGTAATAGATTTGATTTCATCTTTAATTGTAATATTCCAAATGAAGATAGTGTATGTTTTCTGGTTAAATGCATTTATATTACTTCAAATGTATAACGGTGAATAAATTTAGATAAAATATGTTGATAAGACATGCCTTTGTTTCTATTTCAGGCAAAACTTATATATCACGTTCCTTTCTCAGAAGAAGAGCATCAGAATATTACATACACGATCCAAAGCAATTTGTACAGATATATTGCTATACTCCTCGAAGGGCGTGAAAGATTTGAAGAAGAGTACCGTCTTAAAATGAGGAAAAAACAGTTTGATGAACCTGGCCCTTCAGGTATCAAATTTTATACAGTTTTGTTCCTGACTTCCCGTATGAACTGACCTTTCTATTACCTTTGTCTCTAATTCGTAAGAAATGCCCTTTTGATTAATGGAGTACAATCATTTGTCACACCCATGACAATAATTGCTGCTCTCTTCTGTCACCTGTTTCTCGGAACCCTTCCTTTGTCCATTTAAGCCTGCACTTCTTTTTGTACTATTGTTGAGGAATTGATAAAGTCTGATATATGGAAATCTAAAGATATCGATGACAACGATTTAAAGACTGATGATATGCTGATTTAGTGCTGCTATGGTTATGTTATATACTATTCTGGATTTAGTTCTTTCAGTTCTGAGATACAAATCATTCACATGATTGCACCAAGTGCCACTTTTTTTAAATCACAAAATGGAGTATAAAGAGTTAACTATTCTCATTACCCTGCTGTAAGATTATCGTTCTAATTGAGAAATCATTTAATCTCACCAAGCATTAATATATTGAACTTAAGAATTGAGTTCTACATCTGGATTCTAAGTGTAATCTTTGCTAACAGTGCTTCCAGACCTGATTGAAGAAGAGAATATCTATTCCATCAGCCCCAGACTGAAAAACTTCTCGGATTGGCTTCTTCAAGCTATGATGTTAGGAAATTTGGAGGTCATTTTTCCTGCTGCCACTCGAGAGTACACAGCTGTAGTTGAGGAGTTGTGGAAACATAAAGCATTTCAAGCCACATATCAGCGGAGGAATGAGCTAGAAACGCTTCCAAGAGTTGCCAATTATTTCTTAGATCATGTAGGTTACTCTTTGTCCTTATTCGCCATTCTCAGTTAGGGATTGATAGAATTATGATTTTGTGTTCTTTTGTCGCCACCTTCAACTTATGAAATGAATGTCCTCGCTAGGCTGTTGAGATTTCAAAGGCAGACTACAACCCTTCTGATATGGATAAGTTATATGCTGAGGGCATTACTTCTTCCAATGGGGTCGCGTGCATGGAGTTTTCCTTCTCTAATCCATCTCAGCATAGCTACATGGAGGCCGTTGATCAGAATTCTTCCTCGATGAGGTCATCTCTCTCTCCAAGTTATATCTTTCAATTCCTACCTTATATTGGTAGCTACATCGTAAGGACAATAGGGGAGGTGTTCGCTAAAGATCTGTCATGACTGCCTATTTAATGGGAACAGCTTATTATCACTTGAAAAAATCTGGTAGTTATGTGTATCAGATACATGACACTCATTATATAAACTTTTCAACAGTATTAGATGAGTAATGAGCATACATTCATTTATACTTGAGAGGTTGGTTAAGGACTTCTCCATTTTTCAAGGATTAGCTTCTTGATTCTTGGTTTATCATCAAGCTTTGAGAAGTTAGTGCTACTTTGTTTCATACCCAAAATCTACAATTGTGTTTGAGACTTGAGATGCGTTCCGTCAACTCATCTTGTTGCAAATGCAGGTACCAACTAATAAGAGTGCATGCGAGCTGCGTAGGGAAAAACTGCAAGTGGTTGGAGATGTTTGAAGATGTTGACCTTCTTATCTTTTGTGTTTCCTTGACGGAGTACACCGAGTATTTGGAGGACTACGATGGAGTTTGCACAAACAAGATGATGGCGAGCAAGAAGCTGTTTGAAAACATCGTCAGTCATCCAGCTTTTGCCCGGAAACATTGCCTCTTACTATTAAACAAGTTTGACATACTGGAAGAAATCATCGAACAGGCTCCACTTTCTGAATGCGAGTGGTTTCAGGAATTCAATCCAGTGATCAGTCGTCATCCCAACAGCAACACCAGCAACAACAACCCGTCGTTGGCTCAACGTGCTTGTCATTACATAGCCATGAAGTTCAAACGATTATATAGTTCCATTACAGAGCGAAAGTTGTATGTCTCACCGCTAACTGCTTTGGAGGCTGATAGTGTTGATGAAGCTCTTAAATACAGTAGGGAAATTCTGAAGTGGGATGAAGAAAAGCATAAAGTAATGCGCGATTGGACGACAGAGAGTGCTGAGGCTAGCACAACTCTTGATGCCAGCATAACTGCATAGTTTACTATCTATCATTCTTTTGTTGAGTCCACTTTGCCTCTCGGCATTGTACATAGTTTTAGAGGAGGAATTTACTTTTCTCATATGTAGCTAATAAATAAAAATGTAAAAGAGATGAGGTTCCATTCTGCAATTTGCAGATACAATCTCGGCCTTTATTTTTTATCTTCTCTGTACACTGGAATTGGATAACTTATACCTTGTAGAGGGTGGGTTAATTAGTGTCGGGATAACTTATACCTTTTCTTATAAATTATGCAATTGTCATTTTTAATACAACATACCAAACAGTGGATTAACAACAATACCAGGATAACTAATCACAGCATAACTTATCCCAACATAATCCGTATTCAAACCAAACGACCCCTTAGTGTGGTTGGGCTATTCTTGACACGTAGAGATATTACCAATTTCTCTTTTTCTTTTTTTATCCCTTTTAAAAGAAAAACAGAATGACCCTAATAAAATGGTGTTCTCATAGCCATTATTAATTTGTTTGTGGATAATCTTTCAAAATCCAAAAAAAAAAGAAGAAAAAACAGTTGTCACAAAATTTGTTTGTTTAAGTTTTCTCAAGTATTTGTAAAAGCTTTTTAAAAGAAACTTTCTGAAGTAGTTTTAGATATTTTCCAGTTTACTTTATGAACAAATATCTGTTTCCAGAATGTTCATTTATTGTTCTTGCTATAGATTAATGGTTAAATGAGATACACCTTCTGAATTACATCTCTCCTGGTATGCATTTGTTTTATACTTATGGCGCACAGTATTTTATGGATTTTTTTGAGAAATTTATAGAATCCATCCGCTTATGTTTTTCAAAAAAACAAAATCACAAATCAGAGATGAACAGAGGCTGAAATGGGAGATGATGAGTAAACACAGCCTAAATGACAAAAATTTCAAAGATCATATACATTATAAGAACATTTATATATACTTCTATATCTATCGTTCTTGTTATAGATGAACTATGTCTCCTAAAATATATCCCTCCCTTGCATACATTTGTTGATTCACTTAATTTCGAGTATATTTCATGATTTTTTGGAGTAATATATAGAATCCATCTTTTAATGTTTTTCAAAAAAATATTTACAAACTAGAGTGTTTCAAGGGCTGAAGTTTCATGAGCAAACACAACACAGGCTAAATGATAAAAAAAGAATTCTTACAACATATACATAACAAGAACATTTATACATAACTGGTACTAGTATAAAATAAGCTACTACTGTTGATATATACTACAATTAGGTATTAATTAATACATCAAAAATCATGGTTTTAACAAGGAGCAAAACGGTCCATGAGCAAGAACACAGTTGCTTCACACATTGTGTTTTCATTCTTTGTCTCTGCAATTGAAGAAGAAGAAGAAGAATTCTGGCTATTTTTGCTTTCTTCCATTTTGTCCCCTGAGTTTTTCTTCTTCTGGGATTTCAACAAGAATAGGCTTCTGGCTCTGACTTTTTCACTTAGCTTTGTAATTTCACACACACAAGCATCAACTACTGTTGCCATTTTCTTATTTTTGGGCAAAGCTTCTCTCTTTTTCTTTTTCTTTTTCTCTTTGCTTATGTAAGTAATCTTGAAAATATATAAAATTCAGATATGAAATTGAAAAGGGTAAAGGGGTCTACTTATATAGTATGAAATCAGAAGCATTGGTGGGGTAGGGGATGGGCGGTGGGGTTGTACTGGTGGAGTTTAGTGGTGTAAAAAAAATCTATTGGCAGATGCCCCTAGATACACGGATTTAGTATAATCTATTAGAATATTCTCAACTTTTATACCTTATTTTCAGAGTATATGCAATACTTTTATGAATATTCAAAAGCCAGCTAACTGTGCAGATGTGAGTTTCACAAAATATAGACGGTTCTAAGTTGGAATATTGAGGATAGTAAATTAGCAATAAGCATAAAATCAAGTAAAAATTGCGCGGGCTAGCCAGTTTTCGGAACGATAACTGAAAAATAGCAAGCGTTTATAGAGTAATTGAAAAATAGCCACTGTTTTGCTGAAACACGAAAAGTTCCATATGAAAACTTCCAGCATATTATGTTACAACTCCAACACATGAAAAGTTTCAGCATAATATACGCGATTATTAAGCTCTTACATATAAACTTCCAGCATATTATAATGGAACTTCAGCACATTATAAAATTTCAGTATATTATGATGGAAACTAATATGTAAAAAAATTTGAACACTAACATAGTATGCTGTAATATTTTCGGATTTTTAAGAGTATATTTCTTTTGATTTTATCTTTACATGAAAAGTGGCTAAATGTCAATTACTTTTGAAATTGTAACTATTTTTCAATTACCAGTTGTAAATATGGTTATTTCTGATTTTTCCTAAAATCAATCTAACTATGAAGCTTTTTAAATGGATTATGGATTTAAAAAAAAACAGATTCACTAGTCTCCGCTAATTCTCAATTGAGACATACTAGTTAACTGAATTTTTTTCGAAAAATCGAACCAAATAATATAATTATGGCAAAGATCTGAAATGATAAACATGGAAGAAATTGAGAAATTATAAAGAAGCTGACTAGTTTGTTACGTAGTTTTTTGGCTTAGGACCACAAATGAATTCAAAGTCTTTTGTATTACTACATAGAAAGTTGTAAATAGTTGACAAAACAGTGTTCCATTCTGGCCCAAAGAAACAAAGCATTTCTGCAGGCGCTTCAACCACGTGATTGGTGGGCTTTTAACTTTGTTTTTAATTCCTTTATCTTTTTTTAATTGAATCTAATTTTGTTAGTATAATTCTGAAACACAAGAAAACGGATAGAATCTTAAAAGATACTGGGAATTTTCCCACCCAATTAGCCAATGCTACGCGTATTAGGTTACATTAAATGATGTAACGGATGAAAGTCATTTTTATTTACTTTGTTTCACATGTTAATTTGATGCCGGTGGACTAATCTGCGAGTAAAATTCACATTCCCCTTAACCTTTAAGTCTCGAAAAAGGGTACCCCTCCACCTTTTTAATGGAAACAATAACCCCTTATACAATATTTTCTTGTGAGACTAAAAATTTTAATACAAAGAAAAGAGTATTATTGTTCTTTTTTCTCTTAAAGATCTCTTTTGATACAAAGTCCTAGAAAACACCCGAGCAAAATTCCAAAAGCATAATAGTCACCTCGGTCACCGTCCCTTTCTTTTACCCATTTAAATGGCTTCTTAAATCTTAATTGGTTTACGTGCTCAGGGAAGTGATTTTGGTCAAACACAATAAAATTCCTTGTCAAAGAAATTTTGGTCAAATTAAAGTTTCTTATCAACCTACTTAGCACCTGCCTTTGCTCGGTTGATAAGCTTTAGCCAATCTCAAAGGTTCAATAATAAACAATAGAAGAGAACAATCTAATAATTGTTATGAATATATTATATTATGTATGTTCATTTAGTACTCCGTTGTAAATAAACTTTCTGAAGAAGTTTATTCATATGAGACTCCGCCATAAATATATTTATCTATTTAGTACTCTATTGGAAATAAGCCTCCTGAAGAAACTTATCCTTTCGGTACTCCGTTATGGATATATATTACCCATGATAGAAGATTATCTATATCTGGCACAACAGCTTACACAGCAGCTTGCAGCAGCAGCTTACAAGCAGCTTGCAGTAGCAGTTTACACAGCAGCTTATAGTAGTAGCTTACACAACAGCTTTCTTTCTTATATAAATAGAGGAGAATTCAGTTCATTATGTACAGAAGTTTGAAATTTGAATAATATATTAGTTTCTCTCTATACTTGTCTTTACTTTACACTCTTTATTTTATAACACGTTATCAGCACGAGACTCTGCCATCTCGAGAAAATACTTTGAAACTATCAGAGGTACGAACTTTCTTTTTCTAAATAATGTCAGATCTTTCTAAACTTGAGTTTGTAGCCCTGGATATATCGGGCAAAAGCTACATGTCTTGGGT